GTGTCCCTGGTGATGCTGAGTCTGGATTTCAGTGCTGGGTTATAGTTTGTACCTCTATCACGCCATATGCATCCAACCTACACTAGCCCCTTTCCCAGGGGCTGATGGGTCAAGTACACAATATAACTGGTTAAAGAGAATCCAGACACAGTGCAGGTGAGGGAGAGTGTCTGTGAAGGCTTCACCAGTCCTGCAACTGCACCTGGGACAGGACACCTGGGGACAAAGAGCATCAGTCCCTGTCAGTCATCTACAGTTATAGCCATGCAATGACCCCTGCCTGACTCCTGAGACCCTCGCTTTGGGGTGCTGTCACCAGGCACAGGAGAAGACCCAGAGGTCTCATCTTCTTCTAGACCACAGCTCTACCTTCCCAGAGACCTCAGCCCTGTGTGAGGAGAGAGCTGTGAGCCTGCACAGTCCAGGAGAGGATTTACCCAGGAGCTTGAAGATAAATTAGCATGTGGGGCACCCTTTCCTATAACTTTAAGGCATGAGGTCAGGATGCACTGTTTATTCATGGGCCCCTCTTTGGGCATCTCTTTCCTTGACCTCACTCAGCATGTAAGTCATGGACAGGGAACCACATGGGAAATGAAGCACATTGGAATTCAGTTAATAATAGCCTAATCTTTCTAAGCATAAGTGGGAATGGTGGACTTGATGAGTAGGTTATGCTTTTAACTTTTCATGAATCTTTCAAACAGGTGTAAAAATGATTAGCATTTGTTCAGACTATTTGTGAATCTCAAAATCTTACTTAATTCACAATTTTCACATTTTTTGAATCTAAGTTTATATTAATAATTCCTATTATTGTGCAAAATATTATAAATAAAGGACAGGCATTTTCAATATCGTATATCTTAATTTACTATGTTACTTTAATATGAGAAACAACATCCCAAGCACTGAGAGATTAGACATTTGTTATTCTTGATGTTGGAAATTATTTGACCGTGTCTACAGCTTCTTGTGCACCCTCTTCCTTTATGCAAGCCCATGCCTACTGCAAAGATTCCAAATAGTTACATCAGAAAGAGTCATGGCTCTAAGTGGACAAAAGACATGAAATAAAAGCAATGATCATGTATTTGTACAACTCAGAATCATTCATAAGTGGAAATGATTATGGGAGAAGATTGACCTGTTTACTCAGTCTAATGTTATCAGTGATGTTGGGGTCGAGAGGGATGTATGTGTAGAGAATTCATACCATAGACTTTCTCACAGGAAAGGAAACTTCAACCCTGAGAGGAATCCCTCACTCAGCCTCCCTCTTCCCTTCCTCTGGATGTCACTGTGGTCACAGGGTGCTGGGCTCTCCCACAAACATATGAAGTCCTTAATGTATAATTTAATCATCCTCCCATCAGACATGATTTGGAAATATATTTCTTTATTTATGTTTGTGTTTTAATTTACTCAATGGAATCTTTAGCAGGACAAAATACTTTAATTTTAACCAAAGCTAATTTAATGATATTGTCCTTGATGGTCCTCTTTTGGGTGATTTTACCAAGAACTCCCTGGAAAATGCTGAGCCTCCACTGTCCATGTGGATTGGCTACAGCAGCCACAGGGACTGGAGCAGGTTCTGGTACCAGAGGGGAGCGCTGATATGAAACTACCCATAGATCTGGACCTGACTATGGAACCAGGTGAGGGGAGGAAATTGGACTTGTTTTGTGTCACATGACAGAAACATGCCTGATGTTCATAGACAGAGAGCTACTGGACACATGGGTTTAAAGCCTCCTTCAGTGAGGGCCCAGAAGGAAGTTCAGGAAATGAAAGAGACAGCTCTTATAATTGTAGGACGTGCCTAATAATTCTGAGCAGAGGTTGTTAGAAGTAGAAACCTTAAGGATTCTGCAGGTAGGGATCAAGGGAAATAAGGACCATCTCATTGCAAACTGGTGGAAAAGAGGATTCCCTGTGTCCTACATGCACATTCTCAGTGTCTCTGTTCTACAAGGTAACACCTTCACTGATCTTGTGGATTCCCACTTGTACACTTTTGGGGTCATTACTCACATGGTCTCTCCCTGAATCACCCAAGCTGCATAATTGATTGTGGCCCCATTTATGAAATCTCTCAACACTGACAGGGAAGAATGGGCACCCCTCATTGGAGGATCCATGGTGATGGTGTGCCAGTATGAGGAGCCTTCATTTCATTGGGCCAAGATCTGTGTCTCAGTCCATCATCTTCATTATCATAATCATCATCATCATCACCATCACTGGCTTACTTATAATCATTCTGCCACTCATTTTCTGTAGACAAGGTTATTGTGCACAAATATTGACCCCGTATCTCATTTTTGGTCATTTATTAAAATTGTTAAGGGAAATAGGAAATCAGAAATTACTATATTACTTTACATTTGACTGCTGACAACTTATGGCTCATTGCTGCCTCATCTCCATCTGCCCCAGATGGGAATCTGATCAGAAATATTGGTCTCCTCTTCATTTGTCATTAAGAGGTTGAAACCACACAATCCCCTGGAAGCAGAATTTTGCTCCTCCCCCACCACCTGCACAAATAAAAGCCATGAGCCAGTCTCCTTTCCTGGCTCCATCAAAGTAGGACCTTTCCTGTGCTTCCCAGAGATTCCAACCACTTGCATGATAAACATTCCATGTCCCTTGGTGTGAGTGTTTGTCATCAGACTGGTCATCTGTACCAAGCTGCTGTGGGTCCCTCTGCCTTGGCCTGGGGTCACTAATTCTTGGGGCTATCACCAAGATGATAAGTCATTGACCTTCACCACCCAGGGTCCTTCTTCACCAGCTTTTCGGTCATAATCCTCTGATGCCTGCTGTTCAGCATGCACGTGTCCTGATGCTGGCTGGACCCTGAGCTGTGTGACACTGAGGTCCAGTGTTGAGTCAGCAGAGTCTCTGGTTGGATTTAGGTGACTTGGGCAGAAGTTTTGATCATTAATTGGTACTTGGCATAAGAGTGTCTGAAAGAAACTCTGAGGTTTGCCCACTTGAGAAAGTTGTCTCTGTTTACAACAGACTTTCTAACTCAGAGACTTCAGAGGTTAGTGCAGAATCAGGAATCCAGAGGTTCCCTGAGGGGAACTGTGACATGAAAAGGAAACCACACAGGTCACCAGCCCAAAGCTCCAACTGCACCTGCTGCTGGGATGGTCCTTGTGTTCAGGGACCCTGAGCGCCCCCTGGTGGTCACAGCCTATCCTGCAGGGAGACTTGTGTATGGGCTCACACTGACTTCACCTCATTGTGCCTCTTGCACAGTAATGCATGGCCTGCAGTGTTCTCAGCTCTCAGGTTGCTTATTTGTAGGTAAGCAGTGCTTTTGGAATCATCTCTAGAGATATTGACTCTGCCTTTCACAAATGCTGCCTATTTCGTGGTGTGGCTGTTGCTTTTGTTTTTATGAAACCTACCCACTCCCATCCCTTTCCTGGTGTCTGCTGGATCCAGCTAATGTAATAGTCCATGAAAGTGAATCCTGAGCCTTTGCAGGAGAGTCTCAGAGACCCCCTGCCCCTAAGCTACACCAAGCCTCCCCCAGACTCCACCAGCTGCACCTCACACTGGACACATGCAGACAAGAGAGTTGTCCATAGGAGCAGGCACACACACTGACACACTCACACACACTCACAAGGCCCCAGCTTCTTCATAATGTTACCATGTAAGAGAATCACAGCGAGAGCCCCGCTCATCCCAAACTTTATGGTGCTTCCTCTGGGTGAACGCCTGGAGTGAATGGAGACTGCAGGTCCCAGGGGTGGGGCTGCTTTCCCAGATGTGCAGGGACAGCATCTGGGCTGGGCTTATCAGCACAAGGAGCTCCCCATTTACATGGGCTCCTCTTCTTAAGGACACAGGAGGGGGAGTCCCTGGGGGACAGTCCCCCTTGTCCTTAGAGGGACAAGCACCTCCTGTGAGCATGGAGATGTTCATGAGGGGTGGCTAGTCTGTGTGCTGCAGTGGGGCTGTTGTTGTTAATACCACCATCATCAGTTACACCCTAGATAATTTACAATGATGTTCCACCCACAGGGCCAGGATATTCCTGCTCAGAGTAAATTCTTCGTGGGTCCTTGTCCACGTGTTGATACCTAGGAAGAGCTTCCTCCCCAGCTCCAGCTCCCATAGTTGGGGCCCTGGAAGGCTGCTCTTCTGTGGAATCCAGACATTACCACGGCTCACATCCTTCTGTGGCTGTGGGTCCATCAGAGCAGAGAGAGTGAGGGAAAAAGGAGTCTTCACACTTAGAGCCTTTTATCTGGTCCAGATTCTCTCTGGGTTCAGCCTCTTCACCCCTCACCCACAATGGCTGACAAAAATTTACAGCAAGTTACTCATCTGTGGGATCACATCACAGGAATCATTATTCAATGCTCTGTAGGGAGCCACTAGGATTCAAGTACCCACTGTCATTATTACAGACAATCTAGGGAAAGTTTGGGAGAATGACATGCTTAAGTTAAACCACCAAACCTAAGCGCAACCTTAAAGCTCCTTGGCTAAAGGTCCTCCTGTGGGGCTTTGATGTCCAGGGCATCAGGAGGACATCAGTCGCCTCCCTGTGATTTGGTGACTGGGAGGACCAGGCATTTACAGATTTCACATCCAGTGACCCTCTGCCTTGCTGCGTGCTGATGTTGGAGATACTGAAAGGGCTCATGCCTTCACCCAGCTCTCACGCTATCTTTCTACCACAGCTGTGTCAGAGCCTCCCCTGACCTTCCACCAGGAGACTCTGTCTGTTGAAGGAAACATCAGAGAAACGCTGTCCTTGCCCATCCCGGGGGGGCGGGGGGAATGCAGGGTATACTTTGAACAACCAATGCAGCAGTGAATCTCCAGGGTCAGTCCTGGTGGTCATGTGACACCACACTCTCCATTGTTCCTGGGGCTGTGACACAGTCCACAGAGTGAGGGGTTCACAGGTATGGAGGCTGGAAAATCCTAGACTTGATACGGGCAGGTAGGGAATCTGGTGAGGATCTGCATCCTAGTGGGTAATTTTTTTTCTGTAATCTCAGAGGGTGGATGGACCAAGAGAGCTTCCTCAGCCCGCTTTTTTATAAAATATACTTTTATTGATTTCAGAGAGGAAGGAAGAGGTAGAGAGAGATAGAAACATCAATGATGAGAGAGAACCATTGATTGGCTGCCTCCATCACACACCACACTGGGGATCAAGCCCACAACCAGAGCATATGGCCTGACCAGGAATCAAATCATGACCTGCTGGTTCATAGGTTGACACTCAAACACTGAGCATAGCATCTCAGCCCTCATTTTTAAGGGCGTGATTCTCACTCATGAGAACTCCACCCTCAAGACCTAAGAAGGTCCCCAGGCCTTCTTAACACCATCTCCTTGGGCATTGGGTTTTGCTGTATGAATATTTGAGGGACACATGCATCATGCCCATGGCAGCAACTAAAGTATCCAATCATGACCCCACCCATTTGGAAGCCTGCTCCAATAGAGCTCCCCCACCTGAGAACACTCCTCATCTTTGGAAGCAGAAACTTTACCCAAGTCCTTCAGAACAAGCTGATGACCTTGCAGTGTGGATAGTGTCTGCTATTGACCTTGAACTAAGGCATCTGGGTAATCCTGTTATTTTTTCTTATCAGTGCTTCCAGGTGGGCATTATTCTTCTGTTGCAAGACCTAGATCTGTTTTCTACCCACAATGGTTGGTAGCTCCTTTTTTTTCCCCACTCAGATTTTATAGGTTTTAGTGAAATAAGTAGTCAGGGTCTATTATTTAAAAAATCTTTATTGTTGAGAGTATTACCGGTGCCCACCCCCATTCCCGCTTTCCACCCAGTTCCTGCTCCACCCCAGGCCTTCACTGCCCTACTGTCTGTGTCCACAGGTGAGATCTTTGGTTAATCTCTTTCCACCCTCTCTTCCCCCATCCCTCTGAGATTCTTCAGTCTGTTCCATGCTTCCATGCCTCTGATTCTATTCTGTTCAGCAGTTTATTTTCTTCATTAGTTTCTTGTTTATTTATTTTGATTTTATGATTCAATTGTTGATAGATATGTATGTGTTGCCATTTTATTGTTTATATTTTACTACTCCTCATTCTCCTTTTCCTCCTCTTCTTCTTTTCCTTCTTTTTCTCTTCTTCTTCTTCTTCTTCTTCTTCTTCTTCTTCTTCTTCTTCTTCTTCTTCTTCTTCTTCTTCTTCTTCTTCTTCTTCTTCTTCTTCTTCTTCTTCTTCTTCTTCTTCTTCTTCTTCTTCTTCTTCTTCTTCTTCTTCTTCTTCTTCTTCTTCTTCTTCTTCTTCTTCTTCTTCTTCTTCTTCTTCTTCTTCTTCTTCTTCTTCTTCTTCTTCTTCTTCTTCTTCTTCTTCTTCTTCTTCTTCTTCTTCTCCTTCTTCTTCTTCTTCTCCTCTTTCTCTTTTTCTTATTCTTATTCTCATTCTTCTTATTCCTGCTCTTCCTCTTCCTCTTCTTCTTCTATCTTCTTAAACAATACCCTTCAACATGTCATATACTACTGTTTTGCTGGTGATGAACTCCTTTAGTTTTTTTCTTTTTTTGTGAAGCTCTTTATCTGATCCTCAAATCTAAATGAGAGCTTTGCTGGGTAGAGTAATCTTGCTTGTAGGTCCTTATCATTCATCAGTTTGAATATTTCTTGCCACTCACTTCTAACCTGTAAAGTTTCTGTTGAGAAATTAGCTGAATGGGCTGCTTTTCTCTTGTGCTTTTATGGGTCTCTATTTGTCTTCAGCCTTTGGCATTTCAATTATGCTGTGTCTTGGTGTGGGCCTCTGTGGGTTCCTCTTATTTTGGATTCCCTGTGCTTCCTAGACCTGTAAGTCTATTTCTTTCACAAGGTAGGAGAATTTTTCTGTTATTACTTCTTCAAATAGGTTTTCAATATCTTGTTCTCTCTTCTCCTTCTGCTCCCCCATAATGTGAATGTTGGAACCCGTGAAGTTTTCCCAGAGGCTCCTTACACTATCTTCATAGTTTTGGATTATTTTTTTTTGTTTTTGTCTTCTGATTGTGTGTTTTTTGCTTCCTCACATTCCAAATTATTTATTTGATTCCCAGAATCCTCTACTGTACTGTAGAATTGCTGTAAATTATTTTTTATTTCAGTTAGTGTATGTTTAATTTTTGACTCTTCTTTTTCCATGTCTTTGACATTCTCACTAAGATCCTTGAAAGTCTCATGAAGATTCTAGAATAACCTTATAACCATGATTTTGAACTGTGTATATAGTAGTTTGCTTGTTTCCATTCTTTCATTTGTAACATGTTTCTTTATCGCCCCATTTTGGCTCCTTTCCTCTGTTTGTTTCTATGTATTGGGTAAAGCTGCTATGTCTCCTGCAGTTGTTAGAGTGGCTTTTTATAGTAGGTGTCCTGTAGGGACCAGTGGCTCAGCCTCCCCAGTCACCTGAGCTGGGCATTCTACGTGCACCCTGTGTGGGCTGTGTGCATATTCTTGTAGTTGAGCCTTGATTTCTGTTGGCATCACTAGGAGGACTTGACATCCTGGCCAATTGGCTGTGAGGACAAGTGTCGACTATAGTGAGAGAGCTGCTGTGCAGGAGACACTCCTGAGGAACAGGAATTTGCTTCAGCGGGACTTTGGTGCTCACTGAGTCTGCCCCTTGAGTGTGCCACTTGTGGCTATGTAGAGTTGTAATCTGCTATGGTCTGAAACGGTCCACTGGATTCACTAAGTCTGGAGCATCCAGGGTGGTGCAAAGTCAGCTACTGGATGGGGCCACCCAGCAGGAGATGTAGAGGGATCTGCAGATGGCAGCTATTTCGTATTTGTATTGGACTTCAAGGTGCCCAGGTGAGGCCTAGAGGTGAAGCATGTCAGTCTTGTGCTACTTCCCTGCCTTGGGCCTTTTATGGGTGGGTTTGGGCATGTTGTCCCCAGCTGCAGCTTATTTGAGAGGTTTTAGCAAAGTCTGAAGCCTGAGCCAGGACAGGCCATTCATTTGAAAAAGTTGCTTCCAGCAGCTTGGTGGGGCTGAAAATTGGATGGGGCAGGGCCTCATGGGATCACCAGGATAGAGCAAACAGTGTGCTCTATGCTTATGGAGAGTCAAATATGGCTGCCACTCAGCCCAGGGACAGGGGAGGTCCCATCACAGGAACAATGACCCTTGTGAGCAACCCAGTCTTGGAGAAAGCCACCCCTGAGTTCCTGCCCCCATGCCAGACTATCAAATTCCTCCCCATATGAGTCTGGAACAGGAATTTGCTTCAGCGGGACTTTGGTGCTCACTGAGTCTGCCCCTTGAGTGTGCCACTTGTGGCTATGTAGAGTTGTAATCTGCTATGGTCTGAAACGGTCCACTGGATTCACTAAGTCTGGAGCATCCAGGGTGGTGCAAAGTCAGCTACTGGATGGGGCCACCCAGCAGGAGATGTAGAGGGATCTGCAGATGGCAGCTATTTCGTATTTGTATTGGACTTCAAGGTGCCCAGGTGAGGCCTAGAGGTGAAGCATGTCAGTCTTGTGCTACTTCCCTGCCTTGGGCCTTTTATGGGTGGGTTTGGGCATGTTGTCCCCAGCTGCAGCTTATTTGAGAGGTTTTAGCAAAGTCTGAAGCCTGAGCCAGGACAGGCCATTCATTTGAAAAAGTTGCTTCCAGCAGCTTGGTGAGGCTGAAAATTGGATGGGGCAGGGTCTCAGGGGATCACCAGGATGGAGCAAACAGTGTGCTCTATGCTGATGGAGACTCAAATAGGGCTGCCAGTCATCCCAGCACAGGAACAATGACCCCTGTGAGCACCCCAGTCTTGGAGAAAGCCACACTTGAGTTCCTGCCCCCATTCCAGACTATCAAATTTCTCCCCATATGAGTCTGAGACCCCTGGCCCAGGAGCACTGAATAAGTGGGACTCTGTGAGTTCCTGCAATGGCCCTTTAAGAGGAGCACCTGTGATTCCAGCAGCCTCCTTGTCACTCAGCCACAAACCCTGACTGGTTTTTACAACCCAAAGTGACAGGGACTTCTCTTCCCAGCTCTGCAACCCTGGGCTGGGGGTCTGGGTGTGGGGCTTGGACCCCATGCTCACCACAGGCAGCCTCCACAGAGACTATTTCACTCCTGATTAAAAAATTGGGACAGGTTGGTGTTGGGCCCATTCCACACCTCCACCCCTCCTACCCATCTAAATGTGCTTTCTTCTTTCCTTCTCTAGTTGTAAGACTTCCATTCTTCCAGCATTCAGGCTGTTCTGAATGAGGATTGTTCTGTATTTTAGTTGTAATTTTCAAGTGGTTGTGGGAGGCGGTGAATATAGGCTTTTATGTACTCCACCATCTTAGTTCTTTCCCAGGCTCTAATTTTGATGTTTGATGCTGACAAGTTAAGGTTCATCCCTCTCTCTTGCTCAGCATGTGGAAAACTAAGAGGAAGCAGGGATGCCCTCTTGTGTCCTGAAGGTGGGACATTGAACCCACACAAGCCTCTCCTGTGAGCAGGACCCTCCCCAACCCCCAGCACTGTCCACAATAAAACCCTGAACAAGTGTTCTTACCTGGAGGATCCAAATATATATTTTTTCTTTTTTAAAATATATTTTATTTATTTCATAGAGGAGGAGAGAGCGATAAGATAGAAACAGCAATGATGAGAGAGAATCATTGATTTGGTGCTTTCTGCACACCCCACACTGGGGACTAAGACCACAAACTGAGCATGTGCCTGGACCAATAATCAAATCTTAAACTCCTGGTCAATAGGTCAGTGCCCAACTACTGAGCCATGTCATCTTGGAAACCATGTCTGACTGGCTGAAAAGCCTGCCCTGCTCCCAACAGACCCCTCCATGAAGAGATAAACCTTTCCAAGGCACGGTGGGTCCCTCTACCTCCTCCTCATGGTGTCACCTGTGATTGTTGCTATAGGAGTGATGGCAAGTCAATGACCAGGGTCTTTCTTCTCTAACTTTGCGTTCATGTGCCGGTGGTGGCCACTGTCCAACATCCACGTGTCCTGCTGCTGGCGGGCTGGGACCCTGGGCTGTGTTGAGCCGCACTGTTGAGTTAGCAGAGCCTCTGATTAGATTTAGGGGACCTGGGTCAGCAGATTTGATTATTATTAGTCATTTGGGCACAAGATTGTCTGAAAGACACTCTACGGTTTTTTTCACATGAAAAAGTTGTCTTTGTTTACAACAGACGTTTCTAATTCAGAGACACAGAGGTAAGCACAGAATCAGGAATCCAGAGGTTCCCTGAGGGAACCTGTGACATGAAGAGGAAACAACACAGGAAACCAGCCCAAACCTCCAACTGCACCTGCTACTGGGATGGTACTTGTGTTCATGGGTCCTGAGCGCCCCCTGGTGTCCGGGGTGCCCCTGGCAGCCCAGGTCTTCTATAGGGTCAGGGAGGTTTGTGTCTGGGCTCACACTGACTGCCCCTCACTGTGTCTCTTGCACAGTAATACACAGCTGTGTCATCTGTAGTCACAGAACTTAGTTGCAGGGAGACCTGGTTCTTGGATGTTTCTCTGGAGATGGAGGTTCGGCTCTTGAGGGAGGGGGTGTAGTAAGTGTTTCCATCATAGCATATGCACCCCATCCACTCCAGCCCCTTCCCTGCGGTCTGGAGGATCCAGGTCCAGCAGTAACCAGTGGTTGTGATGGAAACTCCATGGTCTGCGCAGGTGACGGAGAGGGTCTGCGAGGGCTTCACCAGTCCTGGGCCCCACTATCACAGGTGCACCTGGGACAGGACACCTGGGGACAAGGAGCATCAGTCCTGTCAGTCACCTGCATTCACAGCCATCCCATGACCCCTGTCTGACCCCTGAGATCCTCACCTTGGGGGGTTGTCACCAGGCACAGGAGAAGACCCAGCAGTCTCGTCTTCTTCTAGACCACAGCTCTGCCTGCCCAGAGACCTCAGCCCTGTGTGAGGGGAGAGCTGTGAGCCTGCACAGCACAAGAGAGGATTTACTCTGGAGCTTGAAGAGAAATTTGCATGTGGGGAAGCCTTTCTTATAAGTGTGGGCTCTGAGGCTAAACTGCCCTGGCCTTCCTTGGGCCCATGTAGGGGCATATCTTCTCTTGACCTCACTCACCATGTAAGTCAGGGACTTTGTCCACTTGGGTCATTAAGCTGATTGCAATTCAGACAAGGACAACCTCACCTGAGAAATGTTGGACTAGATGAATACGTTACATTGGTAAGTTCTCATTAATCTTTCAAACAAATTTAATAGGGTTTAGCATTGTTTAGCTTCTGAAATCCAACACTTACATATATCATTGTTATTTTATACTCTAATTATGTTTACTTTAGTGTAAAAATATTAAAAAGAACAGCCATCTTTAATGACATGTTTTCTTCATTTCTTTACTTGGATATGAGTACCTGCTTCACAAGCACCAGAAACGGAGACCCTCGATCCTTGATGTTGGAAATTTTTATTATGTTATATCACACTGTGCAAACTCTTTCTTTATGGATGCACAGGGAATATTGCAAAGATCCCAAACTAATCACATCAGAAAGAATCATGTTTTAACCTGGAGAAGAGATAATAAATGAAAGCAGTGATTATGCATGTGCACAATTGAGAATCTTTTATATGTTGAAATGATATGGCAGCCTGTTAAGTGACCTGATTTCTCAGTCTAGTGTTATCAGTGATGTTGGGGTTCAAATGAGGGAATTTGGAGAATTCCTAGCATACATTTTCTCACAGGAAAGGGAACTTCAACATTGTCATGTAACCCTCATTCCCAGCCTGCCACTGCCCCATCTCTGGGGATGCTCACTGTGGTCAGAGGGTGCTGGGCTCTCCCCCATAACATACAACAACACCTTAATGTATAATGAACACATTCTCCCATCAGGCACATTATTCATAAAGATATTCTCCTGCTAAGCTAGTTATTTAATTTCCATGATGGAGTATTTGGTGGCACAATTGATTTTACTTATATTAATGTTCAATTCATCATTATTGTCTTTAATGGGACTTTTTTTGGGTGATTTTACAAAGAACTCCCCAGAAAAATGCTGATCCTCCACTGTCCATGTGGATTGGCAACAGCAGCCACAGGGACTGGAGCAGGTTCTGGCACAAGAGGGGGGGTGCTGCTGAGAAACTACCCATAAATATGGATGTGGCTTTGGAACTGGGTGAGGGGAGGAAGATGGACTGTTTTGAGTCACATGACAGAAATATGCCTGATGCTCATAAACAGAGAGTTACTGGACATGTGGGTCTAAAGCCTCCTCCAGTGAAGCCCCAAAAGGAAGAGCAGGGCATGATAGAGACAGTTTGTAAGACCAGAGGAAATACCAGAATATTTATGAGCAGGAGTTTCTTAGAAATTGAAAACTTAAAAATTCAGCAGGAAGGGAATAAGAGAAATAAGGAACATGTCATTGCCAACTGATGGGAAGGGTATTCCTGTTGCCTACATGCACATTCTCACAGTGTATCAGTTCTGAAAGGTAATACCTGTCCAGGTGTAGGGGATCTGCACTTAGACACCTTTGGGATCATTACTGATCTGGTCTTACCGTGAATCACCCAAGCTGCCTAATTCATTGAGGTCCCATTTGTGAAATTTCTCAACACTTTTAGGGAAACGTGTACACCCCTCATTGGAAGAGCCATAGTGATGTGTGACCCTCTGAACAGCCTTCATTTCTTTAGGCGAAGAGCCTTGTCTCAGTCCAACCTCATCATCACCATCCTCTTCCTCTTCCTCCTCCTCCTCATCGCTTGCTGACGTATAATCATTCTCATATTTTGTAGACATGGTGGTTTTTCACACACATTAACATTTTATCAAATAATGAAAGCAGGAATCTTTCATTTAGATGTCATTGGACATTGAAATCACAACTGCCACACCTAAGAGTTGTTACAAGGCCTTAGAAACAACGTATGGTTTTGGACAGGGGAGAGATCCCTCCCAGGACAATGGACCAGGACCCTGTCCAATTCTATGGTCATCAGCACCATCACCATCACCACCACTACCATTATCATCATATGGCTATTTATAATTATTTTTCTTCATTACAGTAGACACGGTTCTTGTATACACATAATGACCCTTTCTCTCAATGTTTGCTCAATTTTTGTAATCGTGAATAAAATATGTAGCCATACTTTATTTTCTTTTTCATTTGATTGTTGAAAACAAATGGCTGCATCCTGCCCCACATAGAAATCTGAAAAGAAAGGTTGGGTCTCCTCTCCAGATGTCAATAAGAGGTTGAATCCACACAAGCCCCTGGAAGCAGGATTCCTCCCCCTGCCCCACCACCTCGACAAAATAAAATCCCTCAGTCAGTCCCCTTTCCTGGCTCCACCAAAGCAGGTCTGACTTCCTGAAGGGCCTTTCCTGTGCTTCTCAGAGATTTCAACTCTGTGCATAGTAAACATTCCGTGTCCCTTGGTGTGTGTGTTAATCATCATCCTGGTCATCCATACTAAACTGCCGTGAGTCCCCCTACCTCTGCCTGGTGCCACCTACTCTCAGTGCATGATGCGAAGTCAATGACTGTCACCACCGGGGTCCTTCTTCTCTAGCTTTGCATTCATAGGCTTCTGGTGCCCACTGTCCAGAACACATGAGTTCTGTTTCTAGCTGGTGGGACCCTGAGCTGCTTGGTGCTGAGCTGCACTGTTGAGTCAGTAGAGTCTCTGGTTAGATTTAGCTGATGCAGGTCAGACATTTGATGATGAATTGTCATTTGGGCTCAAGAGTCTCAGAAAGACACAGCTTGGGAGTTTCCTTCATTCTGAATTTTGGAAATATTTTTAGAACAAAAGGTGTTCGTTTTCCTTTA